GCTTTTAAAAATGCTGGAAAGGGGGCACCTGGGTGGCTCAGTTGGTTAAGCGTCCGATTCTTGATCTCAGCTCAAGTCTTGATCTCAGGGTCATGAGTTCAAGCCCCACAACGGGCTCCACGCTGGTGTGTAAACCTACTTAAAAGTAAATAAATAATAATAATAAATAAAAATGCTGGAAAGGCACTCAGCACAGGGCAAGGGCTCCACTTTAGACAATATTTCTTTGCTCTATAAAGTGTTAAGCTCCATCCCACTGGTCCGCAGACGTTACTATTTGCCAGGAACCTCTTCTACGCCTTCCACAGAAATCGTAAGATTTATTCCTTACAACCACCCAGGAGCGGGTATGCGTGTTTGCTTTTGCAGACCGCCTTCCACCCTGCTGGGGTGCAACAGCCTGCCCTGGAGAACCGCCCTCTGGCCAACCCTGGAGGGAGGAGCCGGAGGGCTGCCCTGAGGTCCTTGCAGGGGAAGAACCGCTCGCTACCGCACCCTCCCCTCCGTATCCTCCCCTACGCAGGGGTGCAAGCAACTCCACCATCACCAGCTCCAAGTGAAAGCACCGAGTCTGTTGTTGGCCTACATTTTCCCTCTTAAGCATTGCCTTCGTCGTGGGACGGTGCCGTCTGACTCCTGACCCTTCCCTTTTTTCTGAACCCCCACTTTGGAGCGGCGTGGCCGACGACTCGGGTCAGACCGCAACGCCCGCGGGCCTGTCCGGCGGGGCCGCACCCGGGGCTCGGAGGGTCGGGAGGAAAGCCGCGCTCCGCTCCGCTCCAACAGACCCGCCCGCGGCACGCCTGCACCTGCAGAGCTGGCCTCCCGCGCAGCAGAAAGTGCCCCCTCGAGACGCGGCCGGAGGACAGGCCGCAGTGACCGTCACAGGCCCCGGGCCGCGTCCCTCTGCGTCCGCCGCCGCGTGCGCAAGCCCGCCTCGCCCGCCCGCCGCCGCCGAAAACAAGCCGCCGCGCGCGGCTGCCGTGGCAGCAAGACTTGACTTCCGTGCCCCGAACGGCCCCTCAGAACGTGCGCGCCAGCGCTCACACAGCCTCCACGCCGCTGCCCCGCCACCTGCGCCGGAGCCCCAGGCGGCCCTGCGCGGCGCCGCGACGACCCGGCTCGCCCGCGCCGAGCCCACCCGCTGCGCTCGCACGGCCGCGCCCCCAGCCTCCTCCTCAGCGGGCCCGGAGCCCTCCCGCACCCCAAGCCGCGGCGCCCACGCCCGCGCTCACCACTTCGGAAGGATACGTCACTTCCGGGGCCTGGACCGGCCCCCCCCCCCCCAGATCACTTCCGGGGCCGGGCCCGGGCCCGCTCCCGGCGCGGCCGCGCCTGCGGAGGGCCTGCCCAGACCGCGTGAGCGGAAGACGCGGCCAAGCCCCCGCCCACGCCATTCGGCCCCGTCCGGGAAACTGGCTCCACCTGTGAGGAGGGGCCGGTTTGGAGGCACTGGTCCCCTCGGTCAGACAGACGCCCGCCACTCGGGTCAGGCAACCGCCTCTGCCGTCAGACACTGGCCACCCCCATTAGACAGATACCCGCAGCCGCCCCCCCCCCCCCCCCGTCAGACAGCCGCCTCCCCCATCAGACACCTCGCTCCCTCCTCGGACAGCAGCGTAGCCCGGTCAGACAGACACCTGCCTTCCCGTCAGACACCGGCTGCCCCTGTCGGACAGACAGCCTCTGCTCCCATCGCTCAGACAGACACCCGTAGCCTGGTCAGCTGCGGCACCCATCAGATAGACACCTGCCTCCCCCATCAGACACCAGCTGTCCCTGTCGGACAGACACCTGCCTCCCCCATCAGATACCTGCTGCCCCTGTCGGACAGCTGTCACTGTCGTCAGACACACACCCACCTCCCCTGTCAGACACTGGCTGTCCCCGAGACAGCTGCAGCCCTCGTCAGACACCTGCGGCCCGCATCAGATAGCCGCCTCCCCCATCAGACACCAGCTGTCCCTGTCAGTCACCACCATCGTCAGACACACACCTACCTCCGCTATCAGATACCTGCTGCCCCCCTCAGATAGACACCCACCTCCCCCGTCAGACACTGGCTATCCCTATCAGGAAACTGCTGCTCCGCCAGACAGGCACTTGCCTCCAGTCAGATACCTGCTGTGCCAGTCAGACAGACCCCGACATCCCCCTTCAGGCACTGGCTGCCCCCAGTCAGCACCCGCCTCCCCCATCAGATGGACGCCCACTGCCCCCTCCATGATCAGGTGCTGGTCCACTGGTCTGAACACAAAGCACAGGAACTCCCTAGTTAGGGTGGTTTTGAAGAACCGGTTTATTCATACATTACACCAAATCATAAGCAATTTATGGGCGCCAAACTCTGACTGGAAAAAAATGAACTGAGAGGATGTTTTTCAGAAAATGTACTGTGCTCACAAATAAGACGAATCTGACCTGTTCAATTAATAGAAATGAAGGAAGAGCTCCACAAATCTAAAGGGGAACAGCAGCAGCGGTGCCACACTCGGAGCACCTGCTCGCACAAACACTGGCAGGACCGGGGGCCGCGAGCACTGGGGGCCATCCAGCAGCCCGAGTCCCAGTCCACCACGCACCAGGGCAAGGCTCTGCAGCTGCTGTGAGTTTGTCAGCACTTCTGGACACCATGGGCATGTCTCAAATCCACGACCTGCTGGCGGTCAGGGACACCTCAGGAAGAATGAGCGCCGACGTCCAGGCCTTCTCTGCACGTCCACTGGCCTTCTGTGGAAGCAGTCATAAAAAACAAAGCACCATCGACCACACTGCACAAACAGCTCACTTTAGCCTAAGCTTTTGCAAACATATTACAGAAGAGAAGATATAATATCTTTAATGAAAAAGAATTGCTGGCATCACTTTTCCCCCACAATATTACATAAAAATGGACAACACGTTAAATAAACATTCTGTTATTAATCATTAAATATATTAATACCAAAAATCATGTATAAATTAGGAAATAAATGTACAAACTATTTCACAAAGTGCTTTTTAAAATATATACACAACATTCAAGAAATTCTTAATGTAAGACATTTCAGATTGAAGTTTTGGGATAAGTTCAAGTGTCCTTTTCTTTCAAAAAGTATTAATACAGCACTTAAAAAACCACACACACACACACAAAAGGCATATTCGCAGATTGGCAAGGAATAAAACGACTTTCACAGTTATCTAAAATGTTTAACATTTTCAATGGGGAATTTTAGTCCCCTGATGTGTTTGCAAATTAGCGCTATGAAAACTGCCAAGAAAGAACAGAAGCGAGGAGACACCTCCCTAAATGAAATTGCTAATGTCTATGTCATTTAGCAATTAAGAACTCTCATTTCAGAATTTAATAGAGATATGTATTTTTAAGCCCTTACCAGTGTCCAGAGTTTTTAAAACCCATATGCCTCTAAGATAAACACTCCTATCCCAGTGCTTGTGTGATTCTGCCCCCACAGAAGAGGGGAAAATATCCTAGAATAGAACTGGTACTCGTCTGGGGCAATCTTTAATCTGAGCCTTGGTTCTTCATCAGTAAAATGGGAACAGTAATTGCCCCCATATTTCCCAGTGTGCACTGTCAGGATTCATTCAAGCAACAAAACAAAACAAAAACAACATAAAATACCTCATAAACTGTAAACCAACAGCTCTGGATAAAGAACTACTTTAGACTTTTAAAACATTTCTGAAACTTATCAATTTAAAAAATCATCTTCGGTAGACCCGATATATCAAGAATTGGATTTTTTATTTATTTTCTTCGTTGTTCTTAGAAGCATGTCAGCATTTATCCAAAGATGTTTTTAAAGTATTCATGTGGGTATTACTGTCCAGGTAGAAGTTGAAAGAATGTCTGTATTACTAATTAGTGAAATACAGAGTTTTTCCTTTGACTATACTTTCCCAAGTGAGCTGTCTTTAATGTTTGTGTAGAATTTAAATGGGATTTAATGTCCTAGGAATGTAAATTTACTCAAATTTTCCCACATAAAACCTTTCCTTTTCATTAGGAAGAACACAGTAAAATTTATGGGATTCTTTTTAAAAATAAGATCTGAATTTCAGATTCTAAAAGAAAAGGAACGCTTGCTTGGAGATCTGAACAAGTGGGTCCTGGAAGAAATAATATAAAACAACTTGCCAACTGTCTGGAAAATTTGGTATAAATATTTTAAGTTATCAATTTAGAATTGGGCATATCAAATATCCAAATCCCGTAAGTGACCATCAGCTAAACAAGGGCCAACGGCAGCCATTTCAGAGAACTGCCCTCTCTTTCCTTCAGGAACTACCCTCTTTCCTTCCTTGGGTTAGGCTAATTGTATGTTTATTTGGAATACAATAATTGATCCCTCTTTACTTTTTAGTACAAACACATAGGACATTTTGGATAAACATAATTGGCGAGAGACACAGGTAATGTGTGAGCTCTGGGAAAGACTGTTCACAGCCTCTCCGAATGAAGCACATTTATCCCTTTCATTGTGTAACAGAAACTGACCCAAAACATAGAAGATGGCTTCCCCCCCATGGAGGCACAGGAAGAGGCAGCCATCCAGGGGCTGTGGCGTGTGTCCAGCTGCGGTGTAGCCAGTGAAAGACAAGTTTACAACCCACATTCCGACAAGTGTGTGAGGAGAGTCAGACCTGAGGCCCATTTATGTGAACACGTGGACTATGGCATCTTGTAGCTGTGTCCCATTCCCGGGCACAGAATACTCTGATGACAAGAGGACCCCTAAAACTAGCTAGAAACATCAAGGAGGGGGACAAAAAAGAGACAACCTCCCCATTGTATGGACATACAATACTATACACAGCACCAGATATGTCACACCATCAAAGCGCTGTCTCTCGCCAGCGGTGCATGCTTGGCATCATACCCAGCATGAAATGTGCACGCTTCACATGCAGACGCTGTGTGGGGCCGAAGGGCAACCAAGAGGTCAGAGTTCATCAGAACTACCACCAGCCCGACCAGCCCTGGAGGGACATATGCCACCGCAAGGCTCTAACAAGAGCGCTTTTTCCTTACTGCTGGTAATTTCCATACTGGCCCTGCAAGAGACCAAAACACATGTTACGCTTCCACAGTCACGGGTAAAAGTGTAAGACGGACCCCTCCCCACCAAACCCAGGATTAGGGATGGAAGGAGGTATGAAAAGCAAGCAAGCAAACAGCTCTCCCCCCTGGGTTTCTGAAGGCCATCCGTCCAAGCCTGTGGCTGACTGAGATCAGAAGGTCAGCGAGGCCCCTCACCAGCTCCTCCCAGTAAGGCCCCCCAAGGGGTCAGCAGCAGGGGTGGACACAAACTCGGGCTGGGACCCTGAGGTCAGAGCCACTCAGCCAGCCATGTCTGACCCAGGTGAGCAAACGTGTAGAGGTAATTTCTAAAAGCCTCACCGGCTCAGAGAATTAACATTCTGGAAGGGAGCCTGGCAGCCCATTCGTTCACGCATTACTCCGAGTGACCCCGAGAGAAACCTTTGTCATGTCTCCACAGACATGCTGGGTCTTGCCTGCTCATAGCCATAAGGCCGCTGCTGCTGGGCCGACGGGCCTGTCTGAGATGCTCTGTAGCTTCCGTATTGCTGGCCTTGTCCTTGCTGGTAGCCGGAGTACTGTGAGGCGGCTCCCTGGGCAGGCCCTGAGGACACACAGCAGCACCGTGAGAAGCACCCACGGCGTCCCCCGGCCCTCCGGGAGTGCCTGAAGCACCCTCCCCGGTCCTCCTCAACCTGCGATCCATGCAGCGCAAGCACAGCGAGTGTGTGGGCAAGGCTGCCCGCGGGTCCCGTCTGGCCCGGGCCGGTCTCCAGCGCACCTGCGCTGGCTTCCTGGCAGCGGCGTGTCTGCCATGATGGTCGCTGCAAACCCGCGAGTTAAGCATCACAGCAGCTGCTGCTCGTGTGCGGGAGAGAGGCAGTGGGCATTCCCGTGGAAACTAAGGTGAAGGCCTTGGAAAGAACTGATAAAGGCCAAATAATTTTTCAAACAATGCTATTTAATGAGTCACGGTTGCAACGGGTTGTACAAGAATCTTAAACTGTGGCTTTCCTTCCTTCTATGTACCACCGGCCCCAGTGAGCTCAGCAAGACACCTTCCGTGTCTTGGGGGCGCCCAGCCTGCCACCTTATTTTTTCAAAAGCCTCCCAGGTGGTCCTGAGGTGCGAAGGCAGAGCCCTGCCGCCCCCGACAAGCTCCTGCAGAGGGGCATGCGGCTTATGGAAGGAATGGGGCCCAGCTCTGCATGGGTGAGCGAATGTAGGTTTATACTTATATTAAACTGTTTCAGGTACAGACACATGGATGTTCTATGAACACTCCCAGAACTCACTCCTTTGATGAACTAATCACATACTCATTCAGGTCATAAGGACGGCTTCTCTCGTGTATTCTGAATGCTAGCCGTTTGCCAGGCCATCATGTGGTGGCAACCTTAGGCAGCTGTCCTCCTGTGACGGCAGCATCTAGAAGCACACCCCCCACCCCCGGGCACCTTGGGTTCTGGGGAGCGCAGCCCACGTGCATCTCAGGAGCGGGTTAGGACTCGGGGAGAGCCTCGTGTGGTCTGGGCTCTCAGCAGACACAACCCACAGGCCAGGGGTCGGGGCTGCACTGTTTCAGGTGGACCTGCCTAGGGGGATGAGGCCCACAGAGGACTGGGCAGATGTGCAGGCTACTATCCTGAGCCTGCATTCCGCCAATCTCCAGTGGACGGGGCTCTCCCCTTGTTGCTTGCTATAGCCCAAAAAGCTCCCTCTGTCCACTTCTCTGTCCGATGGGCCTGGAGAACAATGCTTGTTGGCGGGCTCCACAGCAGAGTCTGTGAAGGCCTGCTGGCCCCTTCGCACTTTAGGGAATCCTCGTGGGGTGAACAAAAGCCAGCGGGTGGGCCAGCCCTTCTGGAAGCTGCTGCCAGACTAACCCATAAGTGGACCGTCTCAGGTGACCGTGTGGGAGTGGCTCAGAAAACGCCCACCCGCACCCAGCTCTTGGTCCCTAATGCAGTGCTCCCATCGGAGAACCCAGAGGACCTGTGAGACATGCTGCTTCTAGGGCTAGAGCATGGAGAGCATCATCGTCCCAGAGAATAAGGAAATGCTCAAAAACAAAAGGACGGGAGCATGTCAAAGGGCCTGGAAGAGCTCCAGCTCCCAAGAGGCAAAGCTGCACAATGTGAACCAAACAGAGAAGTCTGAAATATAACCCAATGTGTAAAATTAAGATCTATAAATACATATTAATAAGTGATTAATAACTTATCACTAATTAATCACTCTGCCTTACAGAGAATTCCAAACAGTCTACGTAGACAATTCCTGCTTGAGTGTGGGCTGCGCTCAGTGGCTGGTTTCCAAAGATTAGGAAAGGAAGAGGAAGAAGGGATAACTTGATGGTGGGGGGACCAGTCAGGGTCAACATCACGGGTAAGTCAGGTTGATGTGGGATGAGAAGAACAGGCCCCGCACGTGGTCTTTCCAAAGCCCACAGCCCAGTCTCATCCTGAGAAAAACCTCAGACAAGTCCAACCTGAGGATGTCCTACAAAGCACCTGCCCAGTCTTGCTGACGACCGCCAAGGTCCAGAAGGACAAGGATTTCCCAGAGGTGGTCTCAGCCCAGGGGAGCCTAAGATGTGAAACTAAATGTCATGGGGGATCCCAGGTGGGTCCTGGGGCAGAAAAGGACACTCAGGGCACACTAAACTGTGAGTTCAGCCCACGGCAGCGTGCCGCTGTTAAGTCTCTGAATCGGGACGATGGCACTGTGGTGGCATGAGGTGCTGTCCACACAGCTCTGCTGGAAAATTAAGTGTACTAAGCGCCCTCAGCACAAACGGCAATGTGACCGTGTGTGGGGCCCCGTGCGGGAAGGCGCCTCCCCCTTACCGTAGCCTTGCTGCTGCCCGGGGTAGCTCTGCTGGTTGGGGTACTGCTGCTGGTACCCCGCCTGCTGCTGGGCTGTGCCCTGCTGGTACCCCGCCTGCTGCTGGCTGTACTGCGAGTTTCCTGTGGAGGGAAGGAGACACACGGTGCGTCTCTGGAGACGGAGACAGCTCCTCACGACGCGGATCCCTTGGAAAACCCCTGGACCAGCTCAATTGCTTCGGGATCATCTCTTTTCCGCAACAATTGGAATATGAAGATACAGCCAAAATGAAACAGTTAATACAATTTAAGGCTAATACAAGGGTTTTGGGTTGAACTGTGCCCCCCAGAAAGGTACGCTGAAGTCCACACCTCACGTACCTGTGCACGTGGTCTTATTTGGAATAGGGTCTTTGCAGATGCAAATGGTTCAGAGCACGTTGTACTGGACTAGAATGAGCCTTCTTATCAGAAGAGGGACATTTGGACACAGACATGGTGAGAAAGCCACATGACAACCGAAGGGGAGAGTAAAGTAACGTGCCTACGAGCCAAGGACACCAGGACCGCTGGAGCTACCAGAAGCTGGGAGAGGGGTCTGGGGCAGACCATCCAGCTGAGCCGCCAGAAGGACCAACCCTGCTGACGCTTGGGAGCTCAGACCTCTGGCCTCCAGAGCTGAGAGACTGATCTCTGTTGCACTCAGCGCCCCCATCTGCGACACCTCGCCACACAGCCCTAGGCCCCAGGACGACCGTGAAGCAGGCCCAAAGCAGCAACTCTGAAGGAAGCACGTTTCAGCCTCTGATCAACAATGGTTTTACTTGCGAAAAGAACACAGTAACAGAACCTGTAGACAGCTAAAAACACACCACTGAAAACGGAGCTAAAGGGCATCGTGCAGTGTGGGAGAGGGACCCCCTTAGGGTCCTGGATTGAGAATCAGTACAGATCAGTGACCCCCAGTATGTTCTATATGCGCACCCTCTTGGTGTTTACTCCTGCAGATTTATTCCATCGATAGGCTGGTAGGTGAACTGGTGAGAAATACGGTCTCACTAGTAAGGATACCCGTCGCTGCAGTTCTGGAATGTGACAGCAGGCCACCGTGCACTTCCCTTACCACCGTGAGATAAGCACTACTGCGCACCCACTGTACAGATGGGGGACCAAGGCGCACCGCCTGGCTGCCCAGCGGCCAGCACTCAAACCCGGAGGCCGGCAGCCCAGGATGGCCCCAGGGCCTCCAGACGGGAAATTGAGGGACGTTTCAGTCCCGTGGCTGATGGACACGCTGAGGTGAGCGGCAGCTACCAGGACACTCCTCAGAGACCACTTACTCTAAGCTCATGTGTCCACACAGCTCGGAAGGACTCCGGAAGTTTCAGGACACACTCATTTTAGTGGCAAACGTGCACGCCAGGTACAAGGTTCCAGCTCAGACCCGTACCAGGCTTTTCCTTTGACTTTAGGAAACTGGTGCCACAAAGGATTTTTTTTTAAAGGCATATGTTTACCCATATATACTTTAAAAGTTTACTTATTTAAGAAATTTCTACAGCCAACATGGGGCTCGAAGTCATGGCCCCGAGATCAAGAGCCACATGTTCCACCGAGCCGGTGAGGCATCCCCAAAATGCCTTAATTCTTATTTCCAAAAATCTAGCCAGCCAGCATCCATGCCCAAAGCCTCATTTTGGAAGAAAGCTGACAGTAAGAAACCTGGTTGAGGAGAGCAGTGAGGGCATCACCGCATCAGCACCGAGTGTTAACGGCAGTACTAACAACCACTCTCAAGTCTTTCTACAAAGTCGTCTTGATGCAGGTCTCAAGAGCTGCCGTTTTAGACGCGGTGTGGGTATTAAGTTCCACTCATGGTTTTCAAAACACCTTTACAAAAAGACCAACTTAAGTCTAGTTTCATTTTCTTTTGAAAAGGCCTTTGTTCCTCAACTGTGCCAAGTGCACCGGCTTTAATTTGTAATAAGTTCAGTCCTGAATCTGTGAAAGACCCAGTTCTCCAGCAGGAGGGGTGTGGGGGGGGACCAGGGGCCTTCACTCACCTGCAACACCCCACAGCAGACGAATGGCCGGTCCAGAAATGGCAACCCCCTTCTCTGTGGGGGATCCATCGCAGACCCTGGGGACCCCGAGGCCCAGGGCAGAGCCGCAGCCTGCACGCACCGTGTGCTCTCCTCCGCACGCACACACGCACGCACGGTCCAGGGTCAGTGATGACCTGGGCACAGCCAGGGAGTGTCGGTAACCGCGGAGGACGCAGGACAGCTATCAGGCTGTCGGTGATGAAAGTTGTGTGAATGTGGCCTCTGGCTCGGAAAACACCTTCTCGTCCTGTGCCCACCCTCCCGTGACAGGTGAGGACGGGACGAAGTGACGTGAGCGACGCGGGCGGGTGACGCGGCGCGGGGGTGCACCTGACCTTCTGACCCTGCGCCAGGGGGACCCCGTTGCTGAGACTGAGGGAAGCCAGACTGAGAATGGGGGAGGGGACTATTACAGCTGGCTCTTTCTTTCTGTTAATCAAAACTTGTCCCAGAGCCTGGGTGGCTCAGTCGTTAAGCATCTGCCTTTGGCTCAGGTCATGATCTCAGGGTCCTGGGATCGAGCCCCACATCTGGCTCCCTGCTCGGTGGGAAGCCTGCTTCTCCCTCTCCCTCTGCTGCTCCCCCTGCTTGTGTTCCCTATCTTGCTGTCTCTCTGTCAAATAAATAAAATCTTAAAAACCACACACACACAAGCAGATCCTGGAGACGTAGTTTTTAAGGAGCAGCCTTACCGAGAGCTATGGGTTTGCTGTAAAGGCTTGTACCCTCCACGGGGACTTGAACTGCAGCCACGAGGAAGAGTAAGCGCACCAGCACTCTGACTCCAGGGCGAGCCCCCCTGCGGATCCTGCACACCCACCGCGTCTCCGCAGTTGCTCCTTGCTCCCCGCCCCAGGAGGCCCTGAGCTCTGAGGGCTCCTTCCTCCCAGCCCTTCCTTCCAGCCGGTGCAGTTCCCGCAGGGCGGCGTGGACCCCGGTGCATGGTGCGTATCTTAGCTGACGAGGGCGGCAGAGACACGGTGGGGTTCTCCAGGGCTTCAGATGTTCCGGTCTGAGTATTCTCAGCCTTCTAGCCCCTTTCGCTTTTTATATGGTAATCGATAAAGGAGTTCATTCACATGCACCTGCCCAGCTGCAGCCTGGCACACAGTAGGTGTGCAATCAATGTTAGCAGGGATGCCTCTGAGAACCAAAGCTCTGCTCCCACATACCACGGAAAACCTTCCCTCCGCCAGAGTCAAACCCAGTAGAAAGGGGGCCCGTGTGAGGAACGTGGACACAAAACAGTCACGGGAACCAGCGACCTATCGGTTCACTGACGCATTCGATAAAAACTACTTCTTGAAACAAGGATGTGCCTCAGGGACACGTGCGGGCTGATCCGGGAGGAGTCGCCGTCCCTGCTCTTCTGAATGTTCACCCGCAGGTGGGGCACCGGTCTCTTGGGGCAAGACCCTGGGGACACCCAAGACGACAGCGCTGTGACCACGGGGCTCGGGGGCATGGATGGTCTGCACGGCCCCAAGGTCAGGCTACTTGGATTTTCAGTGACAGCCAGTAATGTTTAATATTTTTAAATTTAACTTCTGCACAGGCAGACAGGTTCGTGTGACTGAGAAATGTAAAAGTGAATGCAGCCCCCCTTCAAGAGGTTCAGGGAAGAAGGCTACCTCCAGCCCTGCCGGGTCCCCAGCCCCGTCCCCCACCCACTGCCATTCCTACTGGTGTCCTGGGAATCTTTCCAGAATTTGTTTAGGGGGTGCACATGCAAACAGGTATGGTCTCACACACAGGCAGCACCCCTGACACCCTGGTCCTTGGCACCTGGCCTGAGCACCTGGCACAATCCAGGAGAATCGGCCACAGCAGCCCACAGGGAGCTCTGCTGCTTTTAACAGACACAGTGACTGGTGGGCATGTCACGGTGGATGCAGGCTCCGTCCAGTCTTTGCTACTGCAAACCTCACAGCGACGAAGTGCAACAGGATGCCCAAGCGTCTGTGGCGTGCTCGGCAGGGCCCCTGATGGCGACCTGGGTCTGTCTGGCTCAGTCGGCCCCTCATTCCCTGATCCTGCCCGGCTTGGCCTACCGTGCCCTGGCCCCTTCCTGGCACCGGCCCTCTGTACGCCAGCGCCCTCTCATTCTGGGGGACCACACAGGGCTCCTGTCAGATGCCACCTCCCGTGAAAACCCCAGCACCAGCCACCTGTGCTCCACAAGGCTCCGCATCCCGCTGTGGGATTAACGTAATTCCTGGAAACATCTTTATTTTGGCTTCCATCCACCCCCTCATTGCTTCCACTCGACACCCTCCACCTCCGTGGGGCCACAGGCCACTTATGCACATCTGTCTCCTCAAAGCACAACACCATCCACCTCTCACACAAGACCTGGCAATGCCACCCACTGTGGGGTGACCTGGCCTCGTAACACAAGTTTGGGGAGTCCCAAGTAGGGGTCCAATTATCAAGATGGAACAAAACGCTTCCAGATTCAGGAGGAAACCATGCCATCTGCCACACTTGCCTTAGAAGAGGTTACTAAGTGTTCTGGCGAACTTTCCATCAATCACGGAAGGCAAGAACATGTAACCCAAAAATGAAGGTATAAAAATGTGCACTTCGAAGTTCAAAAGGCACATCCTGAACTTGTCTTCGGGGCAATGGTTTCTGCCTCGGACCCTCACTTGGACAAAGCAGTGCTGGAGGTAAGCAGAGGCCCCTCCTGGTGGGGAAGGCTGAGCACTGGCATCCAGGGAGGAGGGGAGAGGGCAGGGCTGATGGAGGAGCGCTTGTAGGGAGAAGCTCCAGATGGCCCCGGGGTGGTGCACCTCTTCCCGGTAGGCTGAGAACAGCAGTGCAAACACCTGAGCACGCCAAACTCTACCTTTTACACACTGAATTGTATTTAAAATGGCCCAGACACACAGGTTTTTAGCCACGTAGGGCCCCCCTGCTTGGTGTACCTGGTTAAATGTCACCAGCAGCTGCTAGCTACAGGCGGCGGGTCAGTGCCCTGCAGCAATGGGCCGCTGGGCCGGAGCCGGGCTGCTGAGTGCTCTCCCCAGCACAGGAGCACTCCCCCCGGGATGTCCCCTCTGGAGCGTGGCCCCTGGCCGCAGCCTCTCCACAGGTCTCCCGCTGCGAGGGGCGCTCCCTCACGCGCCCTGTCCAAGCCCCATCCAGGGAGGCTGCTTGGGTTCTGCTGCCCGGCACGGGCTCATCACATCAGTCTGCGGTCCCTCGAACCTCCTGTACTCATGTCAGTAACACGGGCCGGCCAGCACAGTCAAGCACCGCAAAGCTGCCATTAGGCCAGTGTCCTGTCTCGGGAACGGTCCAAGGTGAGGGGATGTGATGCACACAGAGAATGTTTGTTGACACCCGTCTTCAACAGTGGAAGCTGAGATGAAAAGCAGCCTAGGTTTGACTGGAGAAGAACAGTATTTGGGGTAACTGTGTGGATGGGGGAAGGGCCAAGGTGGTCACAGGTGGGATCGCTGATGAGTTTACTGTGGTCATTAACAGAAAGCAAGACCAAGGGCAGTTGTGGTGACTGAGAAGGCAGGAAGAAAGCGTCACCTGTTCACTACGAATGGCCAACACTTAATCTGTTCCTAAGAACAATAAGGAACATCGAATTACTCGCAAATAATTTCACTTTGAGATGGTTGGTATGTTTCGGTTCTCTCGTTCTATATCCATGATCAGGCTTCAAATCCAGCCAGGGGTGACAGCCAGGTCACTGCACCAGCTTTGGGAACAGGAGGGGCCAACACAGGCAGCTGCTGGGGTCGGGGGAAGACCTGCCTCACTGGGTGACTGCACCAGACACAGGCCATCTCGGGGTCTCAGAGCCAGACTCCGCGCGACAAGAAGGCTGGGTCTGAGCCATGTCAGTGAGTGGTACCCAAACGTGGGGCCACGGGAAGCCATTGCTGGGAAACACTTGTAACTGACCCCAGCACAGCCTTCTGGGCGATTCTCCTGTAGTCTCCAAATGTCCTACAATCTCCTAACATTGTAACTAAAAAACAAAACTGTGCGTTTAAAACCATATGGCAGTTCTTCAAATAACTAAGCACAGAATCACCCTATGATCCATAATTCTACTCCTGGGCGTTAACACAAAGGAAATGAAAGCGGGGACTCAAAGACAGATCTGCACACCCACGTTGCCAGCAGCAGGATTCACAACAGCCAAGAGATAGAAGCGACCCAAAAGTGTCCGTTGACAGTTGAATGGCTGAGCAAACCATGGTGCATCCACACAACAGAGTACAATTCTGCCTCGAAAAGGGAGTCCTGACACCTGCTACCACACACACGAGCTCAAGGATGTCACGCCCCAGCGACACAGGCCAGTCAGAATGACAAACATGTAGGGTCCCACTTACGTAAGGACCTAGGCTCATCACGTGCAGGGACAGACAGGAGAGCAGTGGGAGCTGGGGGCGGCCCGGGAGCCAGGGTCTGACGCGGGCGAGCTCTGGAGACGGACGATGTGGATGCGTTTCATGCTACTCACCTATACACTCAGAAATGGTTCCAACGGCAAATTTTGTTGTATTTTTAGCGTAACTCTTTTAAAAAGCCACCCAAAACATGTGGATTCACAAGCTGCCTGCCCATCTCATGTTTCCTTCCCCGGGGGCCCTGCTACCAACCCTCACACCGTGCCCACTTCTGACGCTCGGACCGGGAAGCCAGGGCTGAGCCCGCTGCCTGTGACTGTAAGGTTTTCTCTTCTCTTGGGGTCTCCCAAGGACAGGGGGAAGTACCTTTGCTCTCTGGGGACCCCGCCGAGAAGCGGATGTGCAGATTTCTCCCCAGCTGTGTGTGCTGACCTCACGCTGGAGGCCGGACGGTGGTGCAGGTGGGAGTCTTTGCAGCGGGGAAACAGGTGCGTGCCAGTCACGGGCTTTCTGTTGCTACGGCCGGCCTCGCTCCTCACTGCCTCACGCCACCTCTGCCGGACAGCCCCCAGGGCAGCACCACTGAGGAATGCCGGGGTGGGGGTGGCAGCTGCTGCAGGCTTTATCTGGCCAGCAGGTGTTGGAAGAAATGCCCGGGCCGAACCCAAGGAAGCCACACAGTCCATGGGCACTGCCCGGCTGGCTCAGGAGGGGAGCGCGGCGCCTGAGCCTCCCCAACCGAGGCTGGAGCTCCTGAGGGTGTTCAGCCGAGCTCACAAGCCCCAAGCTGCCCAGCCGAGCCCGATGGTGGAGTCTGGGCCCCTGCGACCCCCATGCGGCCCGTCAAGCCCCCCCCCCGCCCACCTGCGTCATGAACGGGGACGCGTTCTGTGGCCTGCATTTGCCGCCTCTGCGAGCACGCGCGGCCCCACACAGCCCTGCGCCACCTGCTGCGGGTGCGTGTCTGATTCGGAGCTCGCCGCGCGGCCCTTGCGCTCCTTACCGCCCTCATAGTAGTGCTGCGCGGGCTCCTCAAAGGACCGGTCGTAGCTCTGCTCCGTGTAGGATGACTGCTGGTAGGCGTAGTCCCCGTGGCCTGTGGGCACACAGAGGCCACGTGCAGTCAGCGGAGGCCCAGACGGCCGTAAACTGAACGGGCAATGCTGTCGGCTCAGGAACGTCCAGACCTGGACCTGGATCCATTTTCCCTGCACTAAGCCCACGAAGAAGCTTCCTACCACTTCCTGGCCTCCGTTCCTCCCTTTAAGATGCAAACCACCACCTTACTTGTGGGGTGAGCATAAGGAGTCCATCAGTCACGGAGTACACAGGGAGGGTGTATCCGGTGCCCAACATGTGACAAGCTCCGCCCGCGCTGCCATCCCGCTGCCGGCTCCCGGGGCGTGTGTGCTGGGGGGCTGCCGGCTCCCGGGGGGTCTGCTTGGGGGCGCTGTGCACCCTCAGGAGGACTTTGCCGCTGTTCCATTGGGGGGGCAGCCCTGCACTGGCCTCAGCCCCCCCACCTCACATATGCTCCCTGGCTAGTGTCGCCCCCCTCCCCAAATCCCACCCACCCACCCTCTATACCACCTCCACAAACCCTGAGACGATTTAAAATGACTGAAAGGTGAGCGTCAAAGAAAAACCATCTGCAGAGACTGAGCAGCAGCTACAAACAGCCAGCTCAGCTTTGTCCCCTTCCTGAAGGCGTTTCACAATGACGCTTGGATCCCTCTTTTGAAACAGTTTTATGCCCCTATTCGTCCCAGCTGTAACCCCTACTGCCCTTTGGAAGGGAGGCGAGGAGCCTCAAGTCTGTGAGCAGCTGTGGCCTGAGCCAGAAGCTTCTCTCAGCAGAGACCAGCCCCGGCCTGCTGCCAGACCAGCCCTCACCCTCATCCCCAAACACACTTGGGCGCGGGGGCTCTGGAGGCTGTGCAGGCAGAAGTCAGGGCGGCAGGTCTGAAAGGGAGTGCGCGGAGAGCAGTGGTCAGTAGCCTCCGCGATCCTGCTGTTGCCCGGCAGCGCGGGCGCGGGCCTCACCGTCAGGGTAGTACTGCTGGCTCATGGGCTCCGAGGCGGCCTGGCTGTGGCCATACTGCTCGCCACCGTAGTACTCCTCCTGGCCCAGGTACTGCTGGGATGACCCTGGGGGCAGGCAGCGCACATGGGACGTTAACTCAGGACATTCTTCTGTTTCAGGAGGACCCCCTCAATGGCACCCCCCCCCGGGTACCCCGGGAATTCTCCCCCACGTCCAGCCCCGGGTACCCTGGACTTGGTACTTACAAACACGACCGCGCCAGCCCCTACAGCGCCCGACTCCACCCCCTACAGCGGCTCGAGCCTGGTCCACCTCCAGGAGCAGCACCGGCTTTCAACCTTCCATGTTCCGTGAGCCCCATGCGGCTCCGGACCCCCAATCTTTTCGTTCAGTACTAAGGAATGTGCAGCTTCTCAGGGAGAACGGCACGGCACGGGCATTACCTTGCTGGGAGGGCCGATAGGGCGCCATGGGCCGCTGCCCCATCATGCTGCTTCCCTGGCCGCTCTGGCCCATCATGGCGATGGAGGACTGGCCCTGGTAGTGCTGGCTCCCGCCCTGTGCCGAGTTGTAGTGGGACGAGGCTGCCTGCTGGTGCATCATGGACACTGGGCGACACAACAGACCCGAATAACCCCGAGAAGCTCCCCGGGCGGGCACCTGCACCCTCACCCAGACCCCGGTGGCACCCTTCTCCCAGGCCTCCTCCACGCATGCGAAAAACACGAGTCCTGTCCTCCCAAATCCCCAAGGCTGGCCCCAGAGGAGCGAGGCCTGTGCCTGCCCCCAACACTTGGGCCTCTAAGGCTCTTGGTGGGCGGCCTCCGCCCCTTGGCCTGTCCAGTCGTGCCGCCCCTGCTCAGAACCCACTAGAGCAGCATCATCCGATGGGATGGGAGGAGAACCGTGTCAAAAAATAGAAGGAAACAGGTGAAATCTATTTTAGTAATATATTTTATTTGACTCACTATATCCAAAATATCCTCGTTTTTGGTATATAATTGATAGTAAAAATAAACGGAAGAGATGCTGCGTGTTCTCCCTTTTCTGTATTAAGCTTTTGAACTCCGGTGCCTGACACTCTGGGACATCTCCATTTGGGCCCGATGCTACCCGGCGCTCAGCGCCCCGTGCCTGGCCCGCGGGGACCCCGTGGCCCAGCATCTGTGGCCCCGCACCCTGCCTACGCTGCCCCCCCATCCTGGGTGAGCCTGGCTCTGTCCCCTCGGCAGAGCCTTCCCTGGAGCTGCCATAGGGAACAGTGGGAATCCCTCCAGAGCCAGACCCAGGGTCCGCAGCACTTCAGAAGCCCCTAGCACCTTGTACACAGCCTGCACACATTTCAGAGGGCCCCAGGGACCGTCCCGGGGTTGGGTAGGAGTCCTGGGGGCTGGGGGGTGCCCTAGGGCAGACAGGGTGGTACCTGGGTTGGACTGCATGTTGATGTTGGCCCGTGACACGTAGTTGCCGATGGCGCCCTGGCCCTGCAGGGGCACGCTCTGCGAGGCGGGTCCCGAGTGGCTGTAGCCAGGCCCCGAGCCGTGGCCGCTGCCTGACATACTCATGGAGGTGGTGGGCAGCGTGCTCTGAGCTGTCTGCTGCATGGATACGTGGTTTGGACCTGCCAGGAGCACAAGGAGGGCCTTGACTCCATGGAAGACCAGCCTTGTTGCTAGACATTCCAAGTTCCTTCACGTGATCGTGGGGAGGGAGGCTAACCCATGGCCAACAGCACCACAAATGAAGTAAACGATTAAGTGATGAACAAAGAAACAAGCACGCATGCCGACCACGTAGAGGTCTCGCCTGTTTGCTATCCCACCGGCTATTGATAGTTCTTGCCCAAAAGGTAACCTTTCTGTTCTTGTTTAAAAAAATCCACACGGAACCCCACACGTCGATTTGAGGGGGCCATAATTTGGCAGTGTCAAAGCAGAGTAGAGGATCTAGAGTGCTTTATTCCCTTTGCATGTTACCCCCCCATGCTCGGGCGCCCGGGCATGGCAGCTGACCAGCCGCCAGGACCTCTGGGAGGAGAGAGGTCCCACACTTAGCTCTGCAGGGCATGGGGTACCCTGCTGAGACAGCCAGTCACCTGGAAGCCTGAGTGGGTGACGTGCTGCCAGGAACCAACCCCCACCCCAAAGGGCTCAGGGCTACTCACCGTTACCGATCTGGCCCTGCATGAGGGAGGACGGGGGCAGGCCCGTGCCAATGGCATCGCTGAGGCTGCCCTGGGAGTGTAGGCCCTGGCTGGAGCCGCTCTGGGACAGCGCTCCGGGGCCCAGGTTCATGTTCTGGGTTGGCGGCTACAGGCAACAGGGAGGTAACAGGGAGGATGATTAACCCAGAGAATAACCACCTGAAGCCCTCCAGGGATGTGGCAGCCCATGAGATCTCCCCCTACATTTCATGGCCACTTGGCAAATGTCTCTAATCCCCTGTTGCTCTCACATTTGATCAGATGACTGTGGATGACTAGGCCCAAACACCTCAGGCCAAGGACATGATACACCAAGCATTCTTGTGTGAACATTCAGAACTTAAATCAACACAAACTCGGAGATTCAAAGACAGGTCCTCTTTATTGGGGCTACAGGGAGCCACCTTGCCAGCCCACCAGACCGCATCTACCTCATCTTACTCCACAGCCCTGCCCCTCCCCCTTGGCCTCAGCTGGCCAGGATTCTGTGTGTCCCTCATCCACACCACCCCACGCCCCAGGGCCTTTGCACTGACTGCCCTGTGTCTTAGCATTGGCATTCCCATTGCTCCTCCTCTCCATGTGCCCTGCCTGCTGCAAGCCCAACTCTGATCAGGATGTGGAGGGTGACGGGACTGAGTGAGCCCTGCACCCTCATCTCCTAGATCCAGACCAAACAGCAGCTCCGACGCGTTGGACACATATGCTGCCTAGACCCGGCTGAGAAAACAAAGATCCCCCCAGGATCCACTAGTATCTCTAGGGTGAGGAGTCGCAATTTCATAGCCAATCAAGTTGGTTTAACGATTTTATCAGCAAAACACTTCCTGTCACTTATGCTGTCACTTTCCAGGGGACTCGGGGGCATCGAGGGATAAGCTGTTCCCGGTGACAGGTCTGTCCTGAAGCCTCCGTGTCCCCCACGGTCAACGTGGGCCGGGCCCTCTTGGGGCTGTGCCTTCCTATTCTCCATGCAGGAGGCAGCCACTGCCGGACCTTGCCTTTGCAGCAATTTGATTTGGGGAGGTTTAAAAAAGTTAGACACTAAACCATTTACACTGACATTGAAAGTGTCCCTGCACTGGGTACAGTTTTGCTGCTAAATCAGAGCAGTGTACATTCCTGGGCCACCACCATTCCAATCGCTCACAGGGCCCGTGATAAAGAGCAAGAATCCCCTGCGCCACTTCCTGTCCTCCTGAGACCCGCCTCCCACCATTTCTAGGTTTGGTTCCTCGGGGTCACCTCCCTTTGCTAAAGAAACTGATGTCACGATTCTGACCAGCGCACCTCAGACTCTGTCTGACTGGCCTCCCGCCCCCTTCCCATGCCTCTGTTACTTGGTTACTCCAGGTAACGGGCTCAGACGTCTGCTCCCCGAACCGGCAGTCTGAGGCCGTGCCTGACTGTGCTGGGCGAGGGTGGGGCCCACTGTCCCCCGCGTGTGGGCACTCACGGCGGGGAGCAGGGACTGCATGTTCTGGTTGGAGTCCGCGATCGTGGCCAGGTAGACCAGGTTCCGGTGCAGGATCTGCTGGTACCTGCAGTTCGGGGGCACACGGTGAGGCAGAGGAGGCTGCAGGCCCATCCGACAACGTTCACCCAGGGCAGCCTGGCCTTGCAGCCAAGCCCCCGGGGGATGTGGATCCCCGACAACGCCCAGGGACAGGGCAGGCAAGAGTGCTCTGTGGTCCGGGACGGGGCCAGGCAGGGAACAGGGTCCAGCCTGAGTCCTGAGCAGGACCCTGTCTGATGACAACACGCTGAAAGACCCCAAGGTGGTGGCCAAGGGAGAGGTGTCAGCAGACCTGCTCAGAGGATGGGAGTGGGAGGGGGGCAGAAGGCACGAGGCGGCGCGAGGAGGCCCAAGACAGAGACGGAGGGAGACACAGGAAGGGATACCAGAGAGCGAGGCCTCCTCCATCGGACCCCGACACCAGGCGGACTCGGAACCTCTGCACCCCTGAAGAGGTTCCCCCAAACAGGCCAGGGGGTGGGGTGGGGACAGCCCCCAGGCACGTGGTGGCTGCTCACATGCGTCACACCTCCGGGAGCCTCAGACAGCTGGCTCATGCACCTACTCCGCGTCCAGCCCTGGGGCGGTCACACACGGTCCCACCCGGAGGAGCTCACTGTGCCCCGGCGTGTCCACCGGTGGTACCCTCTCCTCCCACACTTTCACGTCCCTCCAAACCTTCTCCCCCTCCTTGGGGAGCCATCCTCTGAGGGTGACCTCCACAGCCCGACGGCCACTTACTGGGTGCACTCGGCCGTCTTGCCCTTGCTCTGGTAGTCCAGGATACACTGTATCAGGTGGTGGTTCTCATCCAGCATCTGAAGGGGAAGCAGACGTGAACGCAAGACACAGATGTGTCTGCGGTGTCCAGCCGGGGGCCGGGGGGGTACAACGGGGCGCCCGCCGGAGTCGCTCCATTAGGTGCGCAGTGGTAACTGCCACCAGCGTGCAGGTGTTCTAGAGAGAGAACTCTAACTCTTCCGCATCACCCTGGCCAGCAGGCCCGAACATTTCCCACACCCTTGTGCTAAGCATGGCCTCCCACGTGTCAGGGTCCGTCCCCCCCGCCCCCCACAAACCCAGGGGCAGGTTCCAGGTTCTCTCACGCAGCAGAGGAAAACCCACAGCCCACAGGACTCCCCATTGTCTAGGGCCCTGACCACAGTGCATTTGCCAGCTAGGGTGGGCCCTGGAACGCTGAGTTCCTGTCTGCAGAGCCCCGCATCATGGCCACACAAGCAGTCCCTCCTGAGCGAGGCCGCTCACAGCCCCGCAGAGCATCACAAAGACCCAAAAGAGCCGGCTTTTCAGGATGGCCACCTGGCGGGCAGCCCCTGGGATGGCCTGGGGACACCCAGGGGGAGGTGAGGAAGAAGTCCGAGAGGGAGGACGGCCTAACGGGAGGAGCGGAAGCACGGGAGGGCTGCGCCGGCGGGGATGGGGGGTGGGACCAGGCAGCCCTGGCCAGCCCACCCTGCCGGCCCGGGGTCTGGTCAGCATTCAGGACTAGGGAGGGCACAGCGTACACCCTTCTCCGCCCGGCTGTGAAGAGAAGATTCGGCTCATTCACCACCTGTGCATGTAACCAGCTTCTGCCCTCTGCAAGGAGAGGCAGAACTGGGCCCAAGGCAAACGCTGCTTTCCACAAAGCTCTTTATTCAGAAACTTGTGCTAAAAGAAAAATCTATGCGTTCTGCCCTCCACAAATTGTGCCTGGTCACCGCGGTGCAGGTTCTTCTGGGCAAGCGCAGCTCTGCAGGCCCCTGAGTGAGAGGAGGGGCCCACCTGCTTACCACCGGCTGGAGGGGCACCTACCCTTCCTCCCTGGGCACCGTCAGCCCCTCACTGCCCTCTGACCTCAGAGTCCTGCTCCTACAGAGCTTGGGGCCCAAACCTGTCCATGGAGGGGAGACCAAAGCGCAGAGGGCCTGGCCCCACCCTGCTGCAAGGCCAAGTCCATCCTGAGGCCCTGCAAGCGACCTCTGCGACCCAGGGGTCGGTCTCTCTCGCTCTGTTTTAAGTTAGAGCTCTGTCCTGTCCCCACTGCGGAGAGCATGGGGGTCAGTGACTCCCACCCTGGCTGAGGAGCCTGCCCAGAAGGGAGAAACGGAGGCTGGCACCGTGGGCCCAGCGGCCACCTGTGGGCAGGTTCGGGGGGGGGACTGACCGTGAAAGGGCACGTTACGACTCTTTGTCCAGATTAAGGGCAACAACCATGAAAGACCTTCCTTTTCCTCTAAAAGCACCCTTATAAGGCTTCAGCTTCCCTGACAGAAATTCCTGGGCAGGAATTTGCTTCCAAGGACATACACCACTGACCTGAAATGTTTTATGCTCAGGATGCTCACTTCAGCATCATTCTTAACACTCAAACACGGGGAGAAGCTAAATGGTGAATGACAGTGTCACTTACACAAACTGGGGCCAAACCGGCCATCGTAAACGCTCCTACAGTTTTTATAAGCATGAGGAAACGTTCTACCGTAAGGGTGAGAAGAGGAAAAAGCAAGGGACAGAGCATGATCTCCACTAAGTTAAAAACACTCAGGAACAGAGGCCAGGCCGAGGTGGGTGAAAGACAGCGGACTGGATGCCCTGACCTCTGAACCCTGGCGACCCCCGTGAGTAAGGGACAAAACAGGGCTGCGAACAGAGAAGGGCTGAGGCAGCAGTGCCAGCAGCAGGGTTCCAGAACTGGAGGACAGCAAACAAGTGAGAAGTGAATGAGCAGACCAGACCCCAGGGCGCCAGCTGTGAGGCAGCCACATGGGAACCCAGAGGCTGGCAGGAGGCAGACTAGAAGGTATGAGGAAGGGCCAGGGTACTGAAGGCCAGAGAGCGCCCCCAGTGACACCACAGACCAACCCTGAGCATGTGAGCCCTGCCCCGGGCCAGGCCCTCAACGACAGTGCTCCTGGGAAGCCTGCGATCTAGACAAGCCAAGGACACAGAGGGCTTACCTGGGGGAGATGAAGACCATGCCAGAAAGAAACTTACAAAAAGAAGAAGAAAGAAGCGCACAAGTATCATTAATGTCCCGGAAGCAAAAAAGATCATGACGTTAGTAAAAGACACTATTAAACACAACAGGGATAGAACAAAACAGAGCTCTGGGTTATTTCTATAGTCACCAGAACAAAAAACAATCAATGGAAGGGTTGGAATATAAAGTTGAGGAAAACTCCTAGAAAGCAAATTAAAAAGACTAAAGTAAAAAACAGAAAAGGCAATAAAATTAGAAAAACAATCCAAGTGGCAAGAAACAATTCTTCCCGGACATCCAGAAAGAGAACACAGAGAAAAATCTGCAATGTGTTTTCTCAGAACTGAAGGATATGAATTCCCAGATTAGAATGTTCTCCAAGGGGCCAGCTTGCCAGAAACATTGAGGACAAAGAGATCCTAACAAAGAATGTACTGAGAAACCACGGCACTGAGCTCCTCCACACAGGCCAGAAGTTGGCAAATGGTGGAGGAGCAATAGCCTGATCTGGAGGGGAGGCTTCCTGAGGAGACACGACCAATCCCGAGTGAGACTTTCTGAGGAGAAATTACCTGTCCTGAGGTGTGCGTGTGTATGTGGGGTCTTCCTGAAGAGAGATGACCAATCCCGAGTGAGACTTTCTGAGAAGGGATGACCTGATCTCAAGACGAGGCTTCCTGAGGAGATGGCCAATCCTGAGTGAGACTTCCTGAAGAGAAATGACTGATCCTGAGCAAGATTTTTTGAGGAGGGATGACCCGATCCTGAGGGGAGGCTTCCTGAGGAGAGATGACGGATCCCGAGGGGGGCCTTCCTGAGGAGATATGACTAATCTTGTGCAAGACTTTCTGAGGAGGGATGACTCAATCCAGAGGGGAGGCTTCCGGAGGAGACATGACCAATCCCGAGTAAGACTTTCTGAGGAGGGATGACTCAATCCAGAGGGGAGGCTTCCGGAGGAGACATGACCAATCCCGAGTAAGACTTTCTGAGGAGAGATGACCAATTCTGAGGGGAGGCTTCCTGAGGAGAGATAACCAATCCTGAACAAGACTTTCTGAGAAGCAATTACCTATCCTAAAGTATGTGGGTGTTGGGGGGGAGGCCTTCCTGAAGAGAGATGACCAATCCTGAGCCAGACTTTCTGAGGAGGGATGACCCGATCTCAAGGGGAGGCTTCCTGAGGAGATGGCCAATCCTGAGTGAGACTTCCTGAGGAGAAATGACTGATCCTGAGGGGAGGCTTCCTGAGGAGAGATGACCGATCCTGAGCAAGACTTTCTGAGGAGGGATGACCCGATCCTGAGGGGAGATTTTCTGAGGAGAGAGAACCAATGCTGAGCAAGACTTCCTGAGGAGAAATTACCTATCCTGAGGTATGCCTGAGGGGAGATTTTCTGAGGAGAGAGAACCAATGCTGAGCAAGACTTCCTGAGGAGAAATTACCTATCCTGAGGTATGTGTGGGGGGGGGAAGGGGGGGGTCTTCCTGAAGAGAGATGACCAATCCTGAGTGAGACTTTCTGAGGAGGGATGACCTGATCTCAAGAGGAGGCTTCCTGAGGAGATGGCCAATCCTGAGCCAGACTTTCTGAGGAGGGATGACCCGATCTCAAGGGGAGGCTTCCTGAGGAGATGGCCAATTCTGAGCGAGACTTCCTGAGGAGAAATGACTGATCCTGAGGGGAGGCTTCTTGAGGAGAGATGACCGATCCTGAGCAAGACTTTCTGAGGAGGGATGACCCGATCCTGAGGGGAGGTCTTCTGAGGAGAGAGAACCAATGCTGAGCAAGACTTCCTGAGGAGAAATTACCTATCCTATCCTGAGGTATGTGTCTTGGGGGGGGAAGGGGGGTTTTTCCTGAAGAGAGATGACCAATCCTGAGCCAGACTTTCTGAGGAGGGATGACCCGATCTCAAGGGGAGGGTTCCTGAGGAGATGGCCAATCCTGAGCGAGACTTCCTGAGGAGAAATGACTGATCCTGAGGGGAGGCTTCCTGAGGAGAGATGACTGACCCCAAGCAAGACTTTCTGAGGAAAGATGACCGATCCCGAAGGGGACCTTCCTGAGGAGACATGACCAATCCCAAGCAAGACTTTCTGAGAAGGGATGACCCGATCCTGAGAGGAGGTTTCCTGAGGAGAGATAACCAATCCTGAGCGAGACTTCCTGAGGAGAAATCACCTATCCTGAGGTATGTGTGTGTGTGTGGGGGGGGTGTCTTCCTGAAGAGAGATGACCAATCCTGAGTGAGACTTTCTGAGGAGGGATGACCTGATCTCAAGGGGCAGCTTTCTGAGGAGTTGGCCAATCTTGAGCAAGACTTTCTGAGGAGGGATGACCTGATCCTGAGGGGAGGCTTCCTGAGGAGAGATGACCCATCCTGAGCGAGGCTTCCTGAGACATGACCAATCCTGAGTAAGACTTTCTGAGGAGATATGACCAATCCCGAGGGGAGGCTTCCTGAAGAGAGATGACCCATCCTGAGGGGAGGCTTCCCGAGGAGAGAGAACCAGTCCTGAGCAAGACTTCCTGAGGAGAAATTACCTATCCTTAGGTATGTGTGGGTGCGTGGAGGGGGTCTTCCTGAAGAGAGATGACCAATCCTGAACGAGACTTTCTGAGGAGGGATGACCTGATCCCGAGGAGAGGCTTCCTGAGGAGAGACGACCAATCCCGAGTAAGACTTTCTGAGGAAAGATGACCAATCCTGAGGGGAGGCTTCTTGAGAAGAGATAACCAATCTGGAGCAAGACTTCCTGAGGAGAAATGACCTATCCTGAGATGTGTGTGTGTGGGGGGGTCTTCCTGAAGAGAGATGACCAATCCTGAGC